AGCGTGTCGTCACCCAAGTCATTTCCCGCCAGAATGATGGTGAACAAGTTGCGGTTCCACTGTCCGGGCTGCCCATTGGGATTGACATTTGGAATGAAGGCACTGGCCAGCGCTATCCCTCCCACGTCTGTAATACCGTTCTGCGCAAGATTCAAATATTGAATGGTTTCATTTTTCCGAAGAACCTCCGCCATCGTCACGGCCCCCTCATCACCGATATTGTTTTGCGAAAGATCTAGGCGCACCACATGTTTGTTCTTCATGAGAGCCGTACCAATGATCAAGACACCGCGGGGGATGATTTTCCTCCCCTGCAGCTCAAGAGTTGCCTGGAGAAGTGCCGTCCGCCACTTCCTTCTTGTGTAGAAGTTTGTCGTCGGATCTTTGCTAGTTCCTGGCGGCGGTATCTTTTCCTTCTTGGCCATCCTCACGTCAATACCCCTCTCACGCTTTCCCCCCCCCTCCCCCCTGTGCGCATGTGCACGTATTTGCAATAGGGCGGAAAACAACATTAGTGAAAAGAGAGAAAAGAGGGGAGATGATGTCTACAAAAAAAGTGCATATAACAAGCGGAAACAGACAAACAAACAAAAAAATAATTATAAATATCCTCCCGCACATTTCCTGCTGCCCATTTAATCGCACCAATTGTTGTAATTCAGTGAATTTCCTTTTGCATGCGGCGTATATTATACGACAACTTTAACTACTACAGATCCATCTTTCGCGGTTGACGGAGGGCGGCGAGAAAGGCCTCTTTTGTGACCACTTGCTTCTTCTCATGGACCTTCTCTGCTGTCATGTGCTTCTCCTCCATTTCAACCACCGCCCCCGCCTTTCGAGCCTGGGCGAGTGAATTAAAGAGGCGCACCACACCTGCCGTGGCGACGGTGCGCAGACGGTACTCATATTCGTGTCGGTTCTGGTGAGGCAACAGGCGGTTGTGGCTTTGATCCTTGACGGCGCGGTGCAGCAGCTTCAGGCCCATCGCCTCCGCAGGTGTGCGCTCGGCAGCAACGTCTGTTTTGGGCACCAGCCTCTCCGTCCGTTTCCCGACAATCTCCATCGCCGCCCTGCCGACCGGTTTTTGCGACGCGGTGGCAGCTGCTCGCGCGGTGGCGTTGGACAAAATTTTAACGCGCGTGTTTTTGGTGGCGTTCGCCTCCTCCTCGTCATTTGCGGCGGCACCCGTCAGTTCCGCGATGCGCTGCTGAAGACACTCCGACGAAAGTTTGGGGGCCCGCCTCACCAACGCCACAGTCCGCTTCTTCTTCGCCTTCCGCGCCGCCCTGCTTTTCTGCGGTCTCGACAACTCCCCCACCGCGCCGCGAAATCGCCCAGCCATCGACCCCTCCCCTCCCCCCAACCCACACAAACACAAACACACACATACGGAGGGAGAGAAAGAGATAAAAGGAAAGAAAAAGGCATATATATATATATGTGTGTGATGCACCCAAACAACGCAAAGAACACACGCGAAGATGGAGTCAATTTAACACGCGGGATGGAGGCAAAAAAGATTTTTTTTTTTTTTTTTTCAACTTCATTAAAACCGCACACACACAGAGAGAGAGAGGGAAAGAGAAAAAACAACAATAGAGGGACGTATGCGCATTTATTCAACCAGAGTCCCTTTTTCTTTCTTATCGGATCTCCCTTCTTATTAGGCGTCAGATTAAAAAAAAAAAAAAAATATTGATTCCTTTTCAACTTATTTCCACTATCTTCCCTCCCGGCTCCTTTTATTGCTCAGACATTCAACGACGCACGCACGGAAAAAAAAAAAAAAAAAAAGAAAAAAGAAGAAGAAGAGGTTCTCACACAATCTTTTTCTTTTCGTTTTTCTTCACCGTTACGTGCCCGGCGCTGCATGTGCCTTCCACAATTCCCTCCTCCTCCTCCTCTTTCCCCCCCGCACACAAATACACCAAGCCTCTGTGAGCTTGGTCAGCGCGCTAGTAGCGTCGCTGGACACGACGACCCCCGCCACTGCCATAACCATTACTGCGATAACCGTTGCCGCCACCGTTACGGTAGTAACCGTTGCCGCCACCGTTACGGTAGTAACCGTTGCCGCCACCGTTACGGTAGTAACCGTTGCCGCCACCGTTACGGTGGTAACCGTTGCTGCCACCGCGGCCGTTAAAATAGCTTTGGCCGCCACCGCCACGGTTGCCACTGTTGAGCTCCCGTGCAATGATCGGCGGCAGGGTCTCGATGACGCCGAGTTGCATTCCACGGATGGGGGCTGAGAGAATCTGGTCCGCCACCTCCTCTGGCACGTCAAACACGCATCCAGGTGATTCCTGCAGAAGCGTAATGTCTCTGCATCGCGTAAAGAGATTGTCTCCAAGACTGTTGCGGAGAATACTGCAGAAAACGGGAATAGGCAGGGTGCGCTGCCCCAACATTTGAATCGTTACAGATCCCTTCGCCCCCGTTATGAGACCACGTCGCGTGATGCTGCTGGTGTAGCCGCTCATAACTGCAATGGCGGAGGCCAAAATTTCAGTTGCATCAGCGTCCTTCAGCAACTCCGCGGCCTGCTCCATAAAGAGGTTTGTGGCACTACGCTCCACCCGCGCCAAGTCCTCAGCCGCGTCTCTTGCAACGGCCCTGAGGATCTCGTCCCGTGTCGGGGCTGGAAGCACCTCAAACTTAATTTTCGCGTGGCGTTCAATACGCTCCACAATGTATTCATCCTTTGGTTGATGCAACAGCACACAAACACCCTTTCGGCCGGCTCGACCTGTCCTACCGGCACGATGAATGAAGGCGTCAATGTCAGTAGGAGGGGCACATTGAATGACAAGGTCCACCATAGGCAGATCTAACCCACGGGCCGCCACATCGGTCGCAATGAGAACGCTGAACTTATTGTCCCGAAAACTCTTCATTGTACTCTCCCGCTGCTCTTGCTGCATATCACCATGTAAACACTGGGAGTCCAACTTTGTGTTGTTGATAGACAAATCATGACATTCCTTCTTGGTGTTTGTAAAAACAAGCGTACGTCCATGGCGTCCGCTATAAACCTTTACAAGATCCGCCAACATGCAAGACACCTCACTGAAGTGACACTTTCGGCGGTAAAACTTGATGGTGTTGGCGGCACGCATCGTCCCCTGCCCAACCATGTCAATAAATTCCTTGTTTCTCGGGATGAAGGAGCAGGTGTGAACCCACTCTGGCACGGTGGCGGAGAACAAGAGGGTCTGATGATTTGGATTTCCCTCCGTTGATCCGTTCTGCTCCGCCACCTTCTGTAAGAGAAGCTCAATGTCGTCCTTAAAGCCAATATCAAGCATGTGGTCCGCCTCGTCGAGGCAAACCACCTTGACGCGGTCAAAACAGAGAGTGCGTTTCTCCAAAAAGTCCTTTGCACGACCCGGCGTCGCCACCACCACATCCACGCCGCTGTAAAGTGCCCTCTCCTGCGTGCTGTACGCCACACCACCGTAGAGCGCGGTGACAACGAATCCTTTACTGATGCCAGCAATGACATCCCGCACCTGAATGGCCAGTTCGCGGGTGGGGCAAAAGATCACGGCAGCAGGACCTCGCCCGCGCACAGGCTGTTCGTTACTCTTCGTCGTTCGGGCGAGTTTCTCCAGAATGGGAATGCCAAAGGCAAGTGTTTTACCGCTCCCTGTTCGCGCCTGCACCAACACGTTAGATCCCTTCATGATCGCCTCGTAGGTGAGTGCTTGGACGGGGAACAAGGCGGTGATGCCCTGGCTCTTGAGTGCCTCAACCGTGTTTGGCAGAAGATCAAAGTCGGAAAACGGCCGACCGGTCAAGGCAGAGCCATTGTTCGGCGCCTCCCCGCCGCCCGATTTATCGTCACTTTCATTCGTCTCATAGCGGGCACGCTTCTCTGCTGAGGGGTTTTCACCGCCATTCCTTGCCGCCATTTCTTCGGCAGTCCTCCGAGGCATTTGACTTCGCACCACCCTCCGTGTCTCCGTGTGTGTGTGTGGCGCCGCTCTTTCAGTTCCTTTTACTTTTCTTTTAATTATTTCCGGTTAAACGGGTTGCGTGGGAGGGACGTACTTGTCCTTCTCCGTCTGCGCTTTTATTGTTACTTCTGACTACTGTCTTCCTGGATCGCCTCCGCTGCCTCTGCCTCCGGCCCGTGTACCTGCACGCACGAGAAGTGGGGAAAAAAAAAAAAAAGGAGGGACGGCGACGGTGAGTGGGCGGACGACTCTACTAAAGGAGGGGAAAAGAAACAACTTCACGGCCCCCCCTCTTCTTAAAGATAATTTTATTCCCTTTTTTTTCTTTTTTATTTATTTATTTTTCTAAAAGAAAGCAATCGTTTGCCGGATTTCTCCCCTGCTGTCACACTTCTCGTGATGAGGGCTCCGCGCGGCTCGTCTACACACAAACAAACAAACAAACAAAAAAAAAAAAAAAAAATAAAATAAAAACAAAACAAAACAAAAGAAAACACATCACTCGCAGCCAGTGGTAGATTCAATGGAAATATAAAGAGAGAGAGAGAGGGAGGGAGAGGGAGAGGGAGGGGCACAACAGTCAGGGGGGCGTTGCGGCTCCATGTCAAAAGAGAAGAAAAAAACAACAATTAAAACACAACCGGTGACGCCGCGTACGTTCCCCCCCGCCCCCCGCCATAACCCAAAAAACCCTCCTCCGATTTTAACAAAAGCACACACAAGGAATAAGAAGGAACAAAGGTAAGAGCACATATAACATATAAAACGCATGTAATAGTGATATTAGTGTAGTCAGCCACGTTTTTTAAATTTTCTTTCTCTTTTTTTTTTTTTTTTTGTTGTTTCCCCCCTCGTGTCGTTTTGCTTTGCCGGTATTCTTCTCACGTCTTTTGAATTTAATTGTGTAAAAAGATATAAATTTTTTGTTTTGTTTTCGCCTTCTTTTGATCCTTCCCCCCCCCCCTCCCCCCCTTTTTTTTTTTTTTTCTCTTCCTTTACTTCTTCGTTGCTTTCACTTCCTCTTGTCTTTTTTTCTTTTTTTCTTCTTTTTTCCCTCGTTTTCGTTTTCGTGCTTTTTTTTTTTTTGTGTTTGTGTGACCGTGTGCGTGTCCCTCTTTTTTTTTTTTTTTTTTTTTTTTTGACGGGGGAGGGTTTTATTTCGGATTTTTTTGTTTGCTCGCGCATGTCTCTTGGCAAATGTGGCAAACTCCAGTTTTTGCATGCATGCATGGATATATAATATTAATATACCTCCACACCTTCTCTCAATTTCAGACTACAGACAGAAGCCAAAGTATGATTTCACGGAGGATCGTGAAGAGCCAAATGGGACACTAATGCAGCGGCCGCCAACGGAGGAGTTGCCATTGTCGTAAAAAGAGCTCTCTGGGGGCTTCATTGCCCCAAACGCCAGCTTCATGTACTCCCGATCTCCCATGAACTCACGCAGTTGCCAGCCCTCATCGTCCAAGCCACCCACACTGCTGCTACCACCACCACCACCACCACCACCATTACCCTCTTCCTCAGCCGCTTGCGGATGGAACCAGGCGTACTGAAGCGCCTCCCTCGCCCGCGGCCTCTTTGACGGGTCAAAGAAAAGAAGGGCCTTCGTCAGATCAATGGCCTCGCGAGGCACGCTGCTCCATCGCGTCTCGGCGAAGAGTGGCCCAGCCTCCATCTCCTTGACAAGTTGCATCTTGTTTCCGGAGTGACGGAACGGAAGTTTGCCAACCAACATAACGTACAGAATGGTACCTACGGCGTATACATCCATGCGAGCGAGGAGGTCGGGCGTTGTGGCGAGTTGCCCGCCGCTCTGCGTGAGACTTTTCACCGTTTCTGGTGCCGCGTAGTTCAGCGTTCCGCACGGTGTTGCGATGAGCGGACTGTCGCAGTGGGAATCAATGGATTCCACGGATGTTGGCTCTGGCAATGCACGCAGTGAAAGCCGTGTGGCTCCCAAACGCCGGTGTCCACCGCCCCTGCGGGCGAGCATCCGCGCCAGACCAAAGTCCACCAAAGTCACATGAAACTCGTCGTTCCCAAAGGGCTTTACTAATATATTTTCTGGTTTTACGTCACGGTGCACAACACCAACGACGTTGTGGAGATAATCCAATGCCTCAAGCAACTGCTGCGCCACAAAACGCACCTGCGCCTCCGTAAAGACCGTGTCACGAAGAGCCTTAAACAGCTCCGCGCCTTCCACGTGGTTCATCACAATAACAACATGAAGTGGTGTTTGAAAGCAGTCTAACAAGCGCACACAGTTCTTGTGGTTTATCCGTCGGAGCACCTCCACCTCGTTGATAACATCCAGCCGCATCTTTTCGGAGGTGAGATCGCGCTTGTTGAACACCTTGAGCGCAACGGCGTCGCCCTTCCGCACCTCTTCCCCGTCCACAAGACTCACCGCCTTGAAGACCGACGCGAACGTTCCACGCCCAATAAAGTCGTAGATGTCATCCGTTTCATACAGCTGGTTGATGTGCAGCTCCTCACGAAAGGGAAAAAGCGACATTGCAAGAAAGGAAAAAGAGGGGGAGGTGTGTGAGCGCAGTCGCACCTTAAATTCCTTCGCGACGCAACACCACGTTCCACAGAGATTTCAAGAAAAAAAAAAAAAAGAAGAAAAAAGAAGAAAAAGAGCAGACCGCATTCCAAAGCCGTCTCCAAGGGCAGCGTGCACAGACAGACATACAGATGTAGATATATATAGATATAACGACGGGCGTATGCAATCAATTTCTTCAATAAATGTGAAAAACGGGAAACCCGTCAACTTTTCTGTACATTTCTACGCCTCGCCAGAAGTGAGACAAACACAAACCAGGAAAATGACAATATGCATCACAGAAAAGGAGTTGGGGATAAATTCAAAAAGACGGGGAGCAGGTCGTTGCTCTTTAATGTGCGTTGCCTGTCCCACCATCCGTCGCATTGACCGCACTCCGCATCGGAGGCGGCATCCATTCCCTTCACCATCAACCAAGCTGCGCACAAAAAAAAAGCAAAGTTGGCATCTGCTAAGTCACGGACTTCCAAAGGAGAATCGACATTTGCCCCCACGTGATGTAAATGTACCCTTTCGTCTCGTGCGTCACAAATGATCCAAAGTTCTTCCCAAAAACGCAGTGCCACACGCCCCTGTACTTCTTCTGAAACTCCCGCTTCACAAAGGAAGCCATGGCGTACTCAAGTGTCTCTGTTTCAAGGGCCTGAATGACGAGGTTCCGCGCATCCTCTTGCATTTCTTTCGTCATATCCGCATTGATGTTAAAATCGGCCAACTTTGCCATTTCTGTTCCCTCCTCACACTTCCCCTTTTGTTTGTTCCTTCGTTTAATATATACTTTTGCGTGTATGTATGTATATAGACCTGTGTGTCTGCCTGCTGCACTTCTTACCGGGTGCAACTGACACTTCACCTACAGTACATCATAAATCCACATATACAGAGAAGTACAGGCTCGATATGTACATTACAAACAGAAGAAAACACTATAAAAAAACAGAAAACACAAACACAAAAAAACACAACCGCACACACACACAGAGAGAGAGAGAAAAGGCAAAAGAGCGTGTTTTTTTTTTTTTTTTATGAGCCCTTTTTTTGTCTCTCTCTGTGTGTGTGTGTGTTTGAGAGCAGATGATCATGTGAGTATCACTTGTAAATTTTATTTTATTTTTGGCTGGTCGTGGCGGTGGTGGGAGTGGGAAGCAACTGTGAAGTTTTTGCCTGCATTATAAATGTTTCTTTTTCTTTTTTGTTGTTGTTGTTGTTTTTGTCCCTCTCATACATGTATATATATACCTACACGCACGATACTAAAATACGCACCAAAACACACACACACGCAGCAACGCACACAATTCCCCTTCCATTATTTACTTACCGCCAGTCCCATTGTCTTCATTTGAGATTTTCTTCTCTTTTATTTGTCGGTACCTTTTTTTTTTTCCCGGCTCGTTCCTCCTCCTCTTCTCGTGAATTCATTCGTAACTTTTCCTTCTGCTGTCTCTTCGCCTCCTGTCCCTTCGTGATGACCTTCAATCCCTTTTTTCGTTAGGGAGAGAAGTGGGAAGTAATGGGGGGACTGAGAGGGATACTCTGTCTGTCTATGTGTGTGCATGTGGAAAAAAGGGGTAAAGGAGTTCCTTTAAAAACTTCCCCTTCAATTCTTTTTTGCCAAATGTCGGCCAGTGGCGCTCACTTCCGCACAAATATTCCCCACATTTGATATATGCATATATCGTGGGGTGAATGTGTTTTCAGTAATGCCTCCCCCCCCTGTGTGTGTGTGTTTGCATCATTTAATAATGGCAAGAAATTAATTATACAGACACACATATGTATTATATATGTATGTATGTATGTTGTCCGCAGTATAAATGTGCATTTATGCAGAACTCAGCGGCCTCGCCCCCCCTTCACCCTCTTGGACCGGTCGCCTTGCAGTCTTTTGTGGCTGAGTCTACAACGGACTGCAGGGCTGCTTTTATTTCTCGTACGTGGCGCGTCAGTTCTACAATGGCGTGCTGCGACTCCTCTTGTCTCCGTGAAATAGACGTGAGGGCGTTGGTGAGCACCTCGTTTTGTCGACTGAGTGATCGGTTTGACGCCACAAGCGTGGAGTTGACCTTCGCAAGCGTCTCGTTTTCACCTAAAAGCTGCCTGTTCGTCTGAAGCAGACGTTCAGTGTGCAGCGTTGCCTTTTTCATCGCGGCCGCCAGCTGAACGCATCCCGCGAAGGGGACGTGGCGGTGACAACGTCGTCTGCGCTCCGCATCCGT